AGAGGCAAGACTGTAACTTTCTGTCCAGTTAGAAGGTAGACAGGTATGGACATTGGATGGACAGGCAACTCTTTTTCTTATCTCCTGGCTCTGATTAATTTTGAAAGGATGAGTGTAAAGTGAATCTATTTAGGATATTATGTCCCCTTACTCCTCTCCATGATTTTCTGTTGTCAGGACTGACTTTGTCTTGGCTGTGTGTGGGTGGGTGGTGGGTGTTTGGGGGGTGGGGGAGGAGGGTCCTCAGCATCCATTGCTAGGATAGCTTGTCCCAGTTGGTATCTATCAGGTTTGGATTCAAGGCTTGGGCATTGTCCTTGAACACTTTTGCTCGAGGCTAGTGCTCTACCACTTAGTCACACCACTTTTAGCCTTCGGTTGGATACTGAGAGGTAAGAGTTTCCAGCCATGCCTCCAGTCTGGCTCGTTGCTGATTAGCTGGGAGATGGAGTTTTAGAGAGATTGTGCCTGGGATGACATTGAACTGTGGCAAAAGGAGTCTTTGTCTCAAAAGCCCTTTTTATTTCCAATTAAAGCAACAAGGAGATCAATAGAGATAGAGGTGACCTATAACTTGTTAACAATTCACTAACAATTACTTATCAGAGTTTTGTAATAACAAAACCCAGTAGATATTTTTTAAACAGAAACTTATTGACAGTCTAAATACCACCCCTTGCCTCTGGGCAGCCTGCTTAAAGTGGCTTATCAACAACATTTCACTTTTAACAAATGTACAGACTTTTTCTTGAGCTAAAGCAGTGTAGCCTGTTTAACACATAATCTAAGTTCTACAAACTGTTTCCTTACCAAATGAATTTATGTGACTGGAGTCAGCTCAAGTCACTGCCAATTAGGACTTTGAACAGATACAAGGAGTTTGGGACTAAAATTATCCCTCACATTTTACAACCTTAGCTTTGACTACCCACTCTCACAGATGACTGACACGTTCCTGCCCAGTTAGACATGGGCATTAGGCATGCTTACAGACTATCTTCCCATGACATCCTGGCTCTGATCAATTTTTGAAGGTCCAAGCATAAATGACTCCAGGTTCTGACACCATTTTTGCCATCAGATGTGCTAACGTTGCTGGGGTCCCTGGAGTACCTTTCTCCATGCTAAGATAAATGCATTTTGTCATTCTCCTCAGTCAGTTGCTAGACTTGAACTCAGGGTTTGAGCACTGTCCCTCAGTTCTCCAGCTCAAGGCTAGCACTGTGCCACTTGGAGCTGCAAAGCAACTCCACTTTGGTCCTCAGCTCCACCCATTCCTGAGCTCTACCCTGCCCTGGAGTTCCTGCCCTACAGTTGGCCACTCCCTCTTTCTGCCCAGACCCACTGGAGCACCCACCTAACTTCCTGTCCCCAGATCTTCCTGCTACCTGGACAGGGAGGTGCCATGTGCTCCCTCTGGGGGGAAATATGGCTCCTCTAATATACCTTACAATAACCTTTCTCCTGTGCCTGCTTGCCTCTGGGTGGTCCCCTGGGATGGCTGTGAGGGGTCCTTTCATTGGATTGGTTCCCTGTGGGTTTGCTCCCCCCTCCACTTTGAATGGGGGTCTGACCAGCTTCCCCAGGACCTAGCCTGAGGTCCTACACTCCTGTCACCAGAGAACCACCAAGGTAACTTTCTCCTGACCTAGCACTCTACCTGGTGCCCATCAACACTGGCTAATTAAGTCCTGTCCTAGGTTTCTGATTTCTGTATTTCCATAGTAAGGCCACCTGGGCCTTCAACACTGGCTAAATAAATCCTGCCCCAGGTTTCTGATTTCTGTATTTCCATCGTAAGGCCACCTGCGCCACTGACCGCCCCCCCCCCTACCCCCACACCCCCGACTGACAGAAATCTTGGCCAAGTACTCAGAACTCACCACTAAGGCATACCGTGGCCAAGGGCCCCGTGGAGAAAATGTGTCCACGTTTCCCATTGGCCCCCACCCCAACCTGTTACCAGCCAAATTGCACTGCTGAGGATGCTCTGAGAAAGCTTTTGGTTCCAGATCACTTACTCCTATTGCTTCCTCTAATGTTTTCAGGGTGTCTGCTTTGACGTTGAGGGCTTGGATCCATTTGGAGTTGATTCTGGTGTAGGGTGATACATAAGGCTCTAGGTTTAGTTTTTTGCAGGGTGATTAACCAATTTTGCCAGCACCATTTACTGGAGAGGCTGTCTTTCTTACATTCTATTTTTTGGCTCCCTTATCAAAGATTAGGTGGCTATGGGTCTGCATGCTCATTTCTGGGTCTTCGTTGCTATTCCATTGGTCCTCGTGTCTGTTCTTGTGCCAGATTACTATGGCTTTGTAGTAGAGTTAGAAATTTGGTACTGGTATTCCTCCAGCGCTGTTCTTGCTGCTAAGGATTGTTTATGCTATTCAGCATCTTTTCCTGTTTCATATGATTTCTTGGACTAGTTCTATTTCCATGAAAAATTGGGTTGGGTAATTGATAGGTATCACATCGAATATGTACCTAGCCTTTGGAAGTATTGCCATTTTCACTACGTTAATCCTCCCAATCCAGTAGATGGGAGGTTGTTCCACGTCCTGATTTCTGCTTTGATTTCCTTTTTCAGATTTGTAAAGTTTCCATTGTAGAGGTCATTCACTTCTTAGTTACCTCCTAGGAATTGGGGCCATTACCAAAGGAGTAGCTTTCCTGATTTCATCCAAACTCTTCTCCTTGTTGGCATACAGAAAAGCCATTGCTTTTCTACCCTGCTACTTTGCCAAAGTTTTGAATCAGCTCAAGTATTTTGGAAGTGGAGTCGATCAGCTTCTTTGTCTTTCTGAAGAGTTTCTCTTGTATCCTCTGAGTGTGTCTCTTGGTGAAATAGCTCCTCCATGTTGACCAACTTTCTGAGCCCCTTGGTGGAAACACTTAGAAGGGGGCTGAGGCAGCAGCTTTGTGGCATAGTATTTTCCTTTGGTTTGTGCCAGGAGTTGGGCTTGAACTTAGGGTCTTGTGCTTTCTCTTGGATTTAGTGGCTCATGACTAGCACTAGTCATTTGAGCCATAACCCCACCTCTGGTCTTTCTGCAGAATAAATGCGGATATGAGTGTCTCAAACTTTTCTGCTTGGCCTGCCTTTGAACCTCCACCCTCAGACTCCAGCATCCCAAGTAGTGGGATTTATAGGTGTGAGTGACCAGCACCCTGTCTGTAATGTGTTCTCCTATCAGTCATGAGGCACTGTTTATTTCTGGAACTCTCTTGAGTTCTCTCTTCTGTAAAGATGGTTAACAGAAAGGATATAGGTGAGTAACATGCCTGAGCTGTGAGCATACGTAGGTCTCTGTTCCTGTTACTGGAGTTTACCAGCTATTGCACACTTCCAGGCCGAGTTAGGACAGCTGTTTTCTCTACCTAGAAGTTTCTTTATCCTTCTTAAAAAAACAAAAGAGAGAAACATTGCTGAGTGCTGGTATCTTACACTTGTAATTTTAGCAAGTCAGGAGGCTAAGATCTGAGGATATTAGTTCTTGAAGTAAACACCAGTAAAGGCAGAAGTGGAGCCATGGCCTTTATGGTAGAGAAGTAGCCTTGAGAGAAAAGCCAAAAAACCCTCAAGGAGGCCAGAAGATCCCTGCTGAGAGCTGCTGGGGTTTTCTGCTTCAACAGTGCTTGAGGGGAACCAGGTGCTGGACCACAATTCTGGCCATCTGCTCCAAGCCACCAACCTTGTGCCACCTCTTCACCGTGTCCTCAACCTGCCCGGAGGCCTCTGTTGTCAGCCCAGTGCTAACCCATTGCTACTCCATCTCTCTTAACTGCTGCCCTGAGGAATGCAGTCTCCTGCCAGGTGTGCCTGAACTGCTACCAGGACTCAGAGGCCACCATCAACCACCAGATCCATCTGGAGCTCTACCCCTCCTATGTCTACCTGCCCATGTCTTGGGACTTTTGCCGAGATGGTGTGGCTCTGAAGAACTTTGCCAAGTGTGGCTCTGAAGAACTTTGCCAAGTACTTTTTTGCTAGTCTCATGAGAGAGAGAACATGCAGAGAAACGGATGAAGCTGCAGAACCAGAGAGGTGGCCGCATCTTCCTGTAGGAGATCTAGAAACCAGAGTGTGATGTCGGGGAAAGCGGGCTGAAATTGACGGAGTGTGCACCTCACTGGGAGAGAGTGTGAATCAGTCACTGCTGGAACTGCACGAACTGGCCACTGACAAAAATGATCCCCACTTGTGGGTCTTCATTGAGACTCATTACCTGAGTGAGCAGGTGACGTCCATCAAAGAACCATGTTGGTGACCATGTCAACAACTTGCACAGGAGGAAGCCCCGATCTGGCATGGCAGAATGTCTCTTTGACAAGCTCCCTCTGGGAGAAAGTGATGAGAGAGAAGCCTTGAGCTGACCCCCAAGCCACACATGACTTCCGGTCACAAAGGCAGTGCATGCATGTTGGCGATTATTATTACCTTTTCTATACATTTTACAAAACCTCCTAAGTTCTTTCAACTTGTACCATTTCGTCAAATAAAGGGATTTGGTACAAAGCAAACAAAAAGCTCAAGGAGAGCGTGCAGGCCCTGAATGTCAGCTCTAGGACTTGTGCAAAAGAAAACCCAAAGAGAGCACATCACCCCTAAACTAGGAGAAGAGTTCAAGGCTTCATTTCTGATCTGAAAGCATCTCAGGTCTTTGAGATACACTGTTAATTGGTTGCTACTCATGGAGTCACCTTGTCCTTTTCTTAGTGTTTAGAACTCAGGACCTTGCAGTTAGCTGTGCTTAATAGGTTCAAACATGTACTGCTGGAGTTCCTCCCTCAATCCCTCCTGTGTGTGGGCAGTATTGGAGAAAGGACTTGTGTGTGTGCTGTTTCTCTTCCAGCATCAATCCTCCAAGGCCTCTGGCCTCTGAATAGCTCGGAGTACAGACAAGATGCACAAATTAGTGTCACTGTCACATTCTTGAACTCCCACCAAACATCAGTACCCAATGCAGAAATGAAGAGTACTCAGAACCTATATGATCAAATTTTGAGAAAATCAATTTAATAAGTTTGGTGAGAAGCAAAAAAATATAGAAAGCATATTAAGTATCATTTCCAATACGAAAAACAAGTCTGTGGAGCTTGTTGGAGGTCGCAGCAGAGGAAGGAACCGTTGTCTCCAGGCATGTTCAGGCAGAATGGCACGTGTTCCAGGTGAGCACCACAGCCTTTCAGCCTTTCCATTGGAGCTGAAGGAAGAAAGGGAACTCAGGACTGAATTGTACAGGACAACACCTGACAAGTCACAATCTCTTTCTGAAAGTCTATCCCTTTAGCTCCCTCTCCCTCTCCCCTTTTCTGTTTGTTTCTCCACACTTCCCTTTCACCCAGGAAACCATAGATCAGAGGGGATGAGCTAAACAAAAAAAAAAAGGACTTCCTTGAAGTATAGATAAACACAGAGCACAGCTCAGTGGCCACCTACTTTTTTCCAGGCTGTCAGGAGGAATCAGTGTGTGTAGGAAGGACTCTAGGCCTGCTGCAGCAGCAACAACATAAATTTCGAAAGCAGCTGGTGATGTTCTTCTTCCAGCGCCTCCAGCCCCTGAGTCGCTCATTTGTTGTGGATGTTGTGGGTTGAGCGGATGGTAGGGAAGTTTTGGCAGGTGCAGGACTTGGGGGCAGCTTGCTGCTCTCCTCCTCCCCAGCTTGGTCCTTCCCGCTGGGATCACATGTTTTTGGACATGGGGCAACAGATCTTATCTTCCTCCTCCTCTTTCTGTACTGTACCCATGAGTTATATACTACAGGGGGAAGAGAGTGGGGTCTGCTGCCCGCCTGCCTCTCCTGCTCAGGGGCCGAGCTGGTCATTTCATTGTGTTTGGCCATGGGGAGTGCTACTTCGGCTGCTGCTGCTGCTGCAGCTGCTGGTACCAGGGCAGCCTTGCTGCTCACAGTCTTGCCCTCTGTGTTGGAAATATGGGGTCTCCAAGGGAGGCAGGGTAGGCACACGGATCTCCTGCCTTTCCTGCCACCACTCCCCTGCTGCTGCTCAGCAGGCAGGCCTACAGCCCGGTGGCCCAAGGGAGCACTGGCTTGCTTCAAGTGTAGAGCCTGGGCTGTCCTGCATACGGGGGAGGGGCAAGGCGGAGGCGCAGGCAGTGCATGCCTCACCAGGCCCGTCAGGTCTTGGCCCTGGTCTTGCTGCTGCTTTAAGATTTTATAGGTTGCCATGGAGGCAGACAGGGCTGCCCCAACCTGGTCTGGGTCAAAACCCAGGAAATAGGCCATGACGTTTAGAATGGCCGGATCTGGCTCGGCCAGGGCACTCTGGCTGGGGCGTGGTGAGCGTGCCTGTGTTGCCTTTAACCAAGGGTGGCACAACACTTGCCTCACAGCAGGTCTCTTTTGAGGGTCAGGTGTCATCAGATACCTTAAGATATGTTGCAGTTCGGTGGAAAAGCTTTTGAATATTAGACACCTGCCCGCTAACACTTGCTGTTTTAGGACGCGCCAGGACCTGTCATCAAAAGGGATGTCGCCCATGACCATGAAGTAGAGTAGTATCCCCAAACTCCAGACGTCCACCTTGGGACCCTGGTATTTCTGCTGCTTAATCATTTCGGGGGGGCAATAAGCCATTGTCCCGCACCACCCGTCCAGCTCCTGCTGGGGCTGGAACCGCATACTGAGACCAAAGTCGCATAGCTTAGCTGTGCCCTGGCTGTCCAGCAGGATGTTTTCTGCTTTAATGTCGCGGTGAACGATGCCGTGGTCGTGGCAATAATTGACCGCCCTCACGATCTGCCTAAACAGAAACCTGGCCTCCTCCTCCCTCAGTCTGACCACCTTGTACACATAGTCTGCTAGGTCTCCTTCCTCGAGGTACTCCATCACCAAGTTCACCCGCTGCTCTGCCTCCACCACCTGGTACAGTTTGATGATGTTAGGGTGCTCCACAGACTTTAAGATGTCCAGTTCTGTGTCAACAGATGGGCAGTTCTCCTTGCTGATCGTTTTCACGGCGACCAGGCTGTCTGTAGGCAGGTGCTTGGCCAGATAGACTGAGGCAAAGCCCCCCTCGCCGATGGTTCTCAGCACCCGGTAGTGAGCCCTGAGGAGCTCCTCGTGTGAGGAACTGGCCTCAAGGCCCTGCCGGGACCTCTCCTCTCTACTCTCACTACTCATCCTACACAGCACCCTAGCGATGCTGTCTAGGGAGAAAATAGAATCAAACAATGAAATAAAATGTATAAATGTATAATAAAGGAATACAATGTAAGTAAAATATGAATAAGTATAATAAACGAGTAATAAAATGTAACTACCTAACAAACTATCTATCTAACAATATAATGTAAATATAGAAAGAATAATAAATGAACAATATGCTAAAATGCTATCTAAAATGCTATCTAGTAAAAAAGTATAAGAAGAAAGTAGAGCAAGAAAAGAAAAAGGAAAAGTGAAAGAGAAGAGTAAAAGAAGAAAAGTGAGAAAAAGAAAAGAAAAGTAGAGGAAAAAGTCAAGAAAAAGGAAGAAAGAAGTAAGATAGGAAAAAGTAAAAGAGGCAAAAGAGAAACCAAGTCCGAGAGAGTCAAAGCCAAATCGCAATCCAAATCCAAACACCGAAAGTCAAAGCCAAATCAATAAACCAAATCCCGAAAATCAATCACTCACCAGCCACCAACCACCTGAACTCCACCCCTCCAACTACCTACAAGAGTCCACCAGTCAGCACGCGATATATATATAGCCAGGGTTATTGTGACCTCATGAAGGTGTCTGTGATGTCAGAGCTGCCAAGCGTCTCTGCCCATGTGGGTGTCGCCCCCTGTGCCCATCTCAGTTCCTGGCCTTCAGGACGCTTCTTAGATGAGCATGCCTGGACTGGCCTTGCAGTCAGGGCCTGGGCACTGTCCTTTAGCATTTTGACTTGGATTGATTTCATTATTGTTTTCATTTTAGTGCCAGCCCTGGGCCTTGAACTCTGGGCCTGGGCACTGTCCTTGAACTTCTTTTTGCTCAAGGTTAGCACTCTACCACTTGAGCCACAGACCTACTTCCCGCTTTTTCTCTTTCTGTGTTACTGAGGAATTGAACCCAGGCAAGCACTCTAGCACTAAGCACATTCCCAGCCCCTGTCCCTGAGCTTTGATACTCAAAGCTGGTGCTCTATCAGCTGAGCCACAGTCCCACTTCTATCTTCTTGGTGCTTCATGGGAGATAATAGTCTCAGGGAATTTTCCAGCCCATGTTGCCTTTGCATTAGCATCCTCATATGCCAGCCTCCTGCTTAGCTAGGATTACAGGCCTTACAGTAGCCATATGCTTACAACACACTTATGTTAAACAGAACTTAGGTTCTGTTCAGTAAGAGTCTACTCTAAGTTTTCTTAGGTGGTTATGTAGATTGATATTTAATATTTCAACCGATGGCAGTCTAGCGAGAGTGCCGATATCAAGACTCCTAGAGTGCTCATATCCGTATAATCCTAGTTACGTGTGGGGTTGGAAGTGGGAAGATTGCAGTTGGAAGCCAGCGTAGGCCAAATAGTCCATGAGAGCCCATGACAAGGGAGCAGGTTGGCATCAGGGTGCATGCCTCTCATCCCAGCCAAGGTGGCAAGTGACAAATAAGATGAAGGTTCTGGCTGCTGCCTGCTACAGAAGCAAATCCCTTTCTCAAAAACTACCAGCACAACACTGTTCAGTAAGAAATGTACTCATTATCTAACTTAGGTAACTGCACCCTCTCTGTGTATCTCCTTTACAGGAAAATTTAAAAGAAAAAGAACAAATGATGACCACCAGCACAGATATGGCATGACTCACTGTTTATAAGGTCAGCTTAAGCTCAAACACTTCATCAAAACTCAAACCTCTCTTATTCCTCAATATTCTTGTTGCTTCTGCTTTAATATTGACATTATCTTGAAGTCGAATGATCACATGAGGGCTACTCTAAACACAGTATTTTTTCATTCTGTTTGGATGGATGTCAAACACGTGTCTGATATGATATTTAGAATATATAAGCAGATTCATTGTGAACTGTGCTGTATCTAGCTGAGGCAAAGATACCCTTCAGGATTTCCTAGAAGCTTACCATTAATTTTCTCATCAAAAACAAGGGAAGCCAGAGAGATGTAGGTCAATCTATTCAGCCCCGAACATACTAATGATCAAACCCAAAATCTTGTCCACAGTAGTTGTTCCAGCATCTGGGTCCCCCAGAAGTGACACAAACACTGCGGAATTTATTTCTACCTACAGTTCTGCCCTGAACAACTGGGTTCTACTTTCTTACAAGTATTTCTTAGAGGTCTGAAGGAAGAACTCTGGGAAAGGTACAGTTATGGATGTTTATGCAAAGTAGGCCTCTTCATTTTCTACATAATAAAGCAACTCATGCAACCCGAATCCCTAAACAGTAGTACTTTGAGACTCCCATTGCATTGCATGCAGTTGGCAGCTTATGGCTTCATTCAAAAGGATGAAACCCAGGGCCTTCAACATGTGAGACAATCCTTGAACCAGCCCCTGCGCAGTCCTAACCCTAACGTGCTTTTTTTTTTTTTTTGAATCCTGGAGTCCACATTCCCTGTGACAAACGCAGGGCAAGAGGCTGGCACTGCCTTAAAAATGAGCACTTTGAGTGCAAAGACACATGACTGCAGCCCTCTGTGGTTCTTCTCGGTCTGTCCAAGGGGTCTCAGAATGTCAGTTAACTGAAAAGAATCATCTCCTGCTAGGCAAGGGAAGTCCAGCTGCGGCTACCTGAACAGCTGCTCTCATGTTGAGATAATCTCCACTGTGATTATGATGCATTATGATGGACTGAGAGGGACGAGAGCACAGGGAGAAGAAGGGCTCTGGTGAGAGGCTGTGGCTCAGTCTTCAGCTCTCCTATGTGGAGGAGGGTCCTTAGATAGAATAGCTTCTAGGAATGGGGCTTGGAATAGAAGCAGTGTCTTAATCCTGTGTGGTTCTGACTGGCGATTGCTCATCTATCTTCAGTAGGGCCCTTACTTAAGTAGACAGGAGAGTTGAGTTTGGGAGATGTAGTTTGTTGTGTTGAGGTGTGTGCCAGATCTGGAGCTTGATCTCAGAGTCTAGGAGCTGCCTTTGAGCCTTTGTCCTTGATTAGCATTAGCACTCTAGTATGTGAGCCACAGATTTACTCCCCGCTTTTGGGGAGGTAATTGGAGAGAAGAGTCTTATGCCTGTCAGCCTGGCTTTGAACTGAGATTCTCAGATCTCAGCCTCCTGAGTTGGTCAGATTTTAGGCTGGAGCCACTGGCACTGGGCCCCTGTGGTGCATTTGCAGTTAGGAGGTAGCTCTCCCTGTGTCCATTCATCCTGCTTGAGAACCACTGTGAGTGGTTGTTCCTTCTCCTCAGCTAAGGAAGAAGGCTTTCTGCAGTGTTTTCATTTGCATAAGACATAATGCTTTGATCTCTTTCTTGCTCTCTCATTCTCTCATTCTTCTTTTTGCTCAACTTTCCCCTTTATCCACTCATACTTGACCCCCTCATTTTATTTATTCATTTATTCAACACACCCAAACTCATACACAAACACAACCTACACCTAAACACAGAGAGACACACACACAAAGAGAAAAACAGGGAGGGAGATGGAGAGGGAGAGAGAGAGAGAGCATCCCTTCCTGTTTTCATTCATTTTAAGTGGAGCGATAATAAAATACTCCTTCTAGAGTAGTCTTCTAGTTATATAGTCAATAAATTAAAAAACTTCTTCAGTATTCTTAACCCATGAACACTTCCTATATTAGCATTTATTTTTCTATTGGCTTCTGCTGATGAATCTTTCCAAAGATTCATTTGTATTTGTTATTTTACATTTTTCACAGATGTGGTTGTTTCCACTGAGGGTTCATGGGTTTACTTGAAGTTTCCTTAGTTTTAATGAACATGGTTGTGAAGGTAGCTTTAGTGCAGCCTTGCAGCATTATTTACCATAGCCAAGACATGGAGTCAACCCAAATGCCCCTCCGTGGATGAACGCGTCAAGAAAATGTGGTATATTCACAGTGGAATTCTATGCTTCCATCAGAAAGAGTGTTATTGCATCTTTTGTAAGAATATGGAAAGCCTTGGGGAAAAATATATTAAGTGAAGTAAGCTGGACTCAAGGAAACATAGGTTGCAGGGTTTCTCTCATTTGTGGTAGCTAGAATGTTGCTTATACCTCTACAAGTAAACACACTGGGTGGTAAGGAACGGGTTACAAATGACTTCCCAAGTGAACACTTTGGGTGGTACCTAAGGAGTTAGAAATGAAATAATTGAAGTCTGAAAGACTCCAAGGAGAGCACAGACCGTGTAATTCTGGTGAGAGGCTAGAAGAATTAAGAGGGGAAGGGGAAGGAATTTGGGCAAGAATCTCTAGTATATACAACAGCATTGAAAAATATGAGGGAAGGCACCCTGTGCCTGAACGCAGGGTGAAGATTTTGATGTGATGACAGAGATTGAGATGCATTGTACATATAAACTGCTTTGCTAAATGTCAAAAAATGTATTATATAACCTAAAGTTAAGATAAGGGAAGGGCTGGGTACGGAGGGGCTGATGAGAACGTTGAAAAGGGTAACCTTGATCAAGATTCACTGTATTCATAAACTGCTTCAATGAATGGCAACTCCTTTGTACAATTACTTAAAGATAATTAAAATATTTTTTAATGAAAGGGAAAAAAAAAAAAAAGATTGCATAGGCCTTGGTGAGTTACTGAGCCCCCTGTCAGAGGATTAAAGCTTTGGTGGGCTGCTGAGCCCTCATCAGAGTCAAATTTGGTCCCAAATTTAAAACTGCACTTCTGTGAGCTCTGGAGCAGGCAAAACTCTCTCCCTCCCTCCCCTCCCCTTAAACTCTGTTAAGGGCTAAAATTAGCTTCTGGTTACTCTCCCTTCTTCCAAATAAAGGTATTCAAAAGGTCAATTGATAGGTAAAATGCTCTTGATAATCAGGACAAATTTGGGCTCCAGGGAATCCCCACCCAGTACTCTTCAATACAAGTATTAGAAATACTAAATGCCTTGGAAAAGCCCTGGAAGAATGTCACCCAGCAATCATTCGTTTATACTGGTTGATATAAAAAAAAAAATGGATGAGTTTAAGTTTAAACTCCCCCCAAAAGGTCAACAAGTTTGGGTATTACCAAAAGTGTAAAAGAATTATATTGTTTTAAAGAAAAACAGCTTAGCTAAAAGGTTTTTGGTTCTTATTAAGCATGGGGATTATTAAATTCTGTTAAATCTTCTCTCTAGCATTGACCATGTGGTGGATGTGCCATCTTGGCATTGTGGTAGCTTAGTTGCTGTTTTGTACCAACTCGATTTTTGACTTGACTTGATTCTGTGACCCTCCCTGCCAACATGGT